TAATTGACCTGGTAGCATATGGTAACATGGTAACACCTTCAGTTCTTCAAAAATAATTCATAAATACCTTCCTTCAGTGATGTTGTCAAATGTCATGTTGTCTCATTTTTTCAGAGAAGTTAATTGACCTGGTAGCATATGGTAACATGGTAACACCTTCAGTTCTTCAAAAATAATTCATAAATACCTTCCTTCAGTGATGTTGTCAAAATGTCATGTTGTCTCATTTTTTCAGAGAAGTTAATTGACCTGGTAAGCATATGTAACATGTAACACTTCAGTTCTTCAAAAATAATTCATAAATACCTTCCTTCAGTGATGTTGTCAAAATGTCATGTTGTCTCATTTTTCAGAGAAGTTAATTGACCTGGTAGCATATGTAAATGGTAACACCTTCAGTTCTTCAAAAATAATTCATAAATACCTTCCTTCAGTGATGTTGTCAAAATGTCATGTTGTCTCATTTTTTCAGAGAAGTTAATTGACCTGGTAGCATATGGTAACATGGTAACACCTTCAGTTCTTCAAAAATAATTCATAAATACCTTCCTTCAGTGATGTTGTCAAAATGTCATGTTGTCTCATTTTTTCAGAGAAGTTAATTGACCTGGTAGCATATGGTAACATGGTAACACCTCAGTTCTTCAAAATAATTCATAAATACTTCCTTCAGTGATGTTGTCAAAATGTCATGTTGTCTCATTTTTCAGAGAAGTTAATTGACCTGGTAGCATATGGTAACATGGTAACACCTTCAGTTCTTCAAAAATAATTCATAAATACCTTCCTTCAGTGATGTTGTCAAAATGTCATGTTGTCTCATTTTTTCAGAGAAGTTAATTGACCTGGTAGCATATGGTAACATGGTAACACTTCAGTTCTTCAAAAATAATTCATAAATACCTTCCTTCAGTGATGTTGTCAAAATGTCATGTTGTCTCATTTTTTCAGAGAAGTTAATTGACCTGGTAGCATATGGTAACATGGTAACACCTTCAGTCTTCAAAATAATTCAATAAATACCTTCCTTCAGTGATGTTGTCAAAATGTCATGTTGTCTCATTTTTTCAGAGAAGTTAATTGACCTGGTAGCATATGGTAACATGGTAACACCTTCAGTTCTTCAAAAATAATTCATAAATACCTTCCTTCAGTGATGTTGTCAAAATGTCATGTTGTCTCATTTTTTCAGAGAAGTTAATTGACCTGGTAGCATATGGTAACATGGTAACACCTTCAGTTCTTCAAAAATAATTCATAAATACCTTCCTTCAGTGATGTTGTCAAAATGTCATGTTGTCTCATTTTTCAGAGAAGTTAATTGACCTGGTAGCATATGGTAACATGGTAACACCTTCAGTTCTTCAAAAATAATTCATAAATACCTTCCTTCAGTGATGTTGTCAAAATGTCATGTGTCTCATTTTTTCAGAGAAGTTAATTGACCTGGTAGCATATGTAACATGGTAACACCTTCAGTTCTTCAAAAATAATTCATAAATACCTTCCTTCAGTGATGTTGTCAAAATGTCATGTTGTCTCATTTTTCAGAGAAGTTAATTGACCTGTGTAGCATATGGTAACATGGTAACACCTTCAGTTCTTCAAAAATAATTCATAATACCTTCCTTCAGTGATGTTGTCAAAATGTCATGTTGTCTCATTTTTTCAGAGAAGTTAATTGACCTGGTAGCAATTGGTAACATGGTAACACCTTCAGTTCTTCAAAAATAATTCATAAATACCTTCCTTCAGTGATGTTGTCAAAATGTCATGTTGTCTCATTTTTTCAGAGAAGTTAATTGACCTGGTAGCATATGGTAACATGGTAAACACCTTCAGTTCTTCAAAAATAATTCATAAATACCTTCCTTCAGTGATGTTGTCAAATGTCATGTTGTCTCATTTTTTCAGAGAAGTTAATTGACCTGGTAGCATATGGTAACATGGTAACACCTTCAGTTCTTCAAAAATAATTCATAAATACCTTCCTTCATGGATGTTGTCAAAATGTCATGTTGTCTCATTTTTCAGAGAAGTTAATTGACCTGGTAGCATATGGTAACATGGTAACACCTTCAGTTCTTCAAAAATAATTCATAAATACCTTCCTTCAGTGATGTTGTCAAAATGTCATGTTGTCTCATTTTTTCAGAGAAGTTAATTGACCTGGTAGCAATGGTAACATGGTAACACCTTCAGTTCTTCAAAAATAATTCATAAATACCTTCCTTCAGTGATGTTGTCAAAATGTCATGTGTCTCATTTTCAGAGAAGTTAATTGACCTGGTAGCATATGGTAACATGGTAACACCTTCAGTTCTTCAAAAATAATTCATAAATACTTCCTTCAGTGATGTTGTCAAAATGTCATGTTGTCTCATTTTTTCAGAGAAGTTAATTGACCTGGTAGCATATGGTAACATGGTAACACCTTCAGTTCTTCAAAATAATTCATAAATACCTTCCTTCAGTGATGTTGTCAAAATGTCATGTTGTCTCATTTTTTCAGAGAAGTTAATTGACATGGTAGCATATGGTAACATGGTAACACCTTCAGTTCTTCAAAAATAATTCATAAATACCTTCCTTCAGTGATGTTGTCAAAATGTCATGTTGTCTCATTTTTTCAGAGAAGTTAATTGACCTGGTAGCATATGGTAACATGGTAACACCTTCAGTTCTTCAAAAATAATTCATAAATACTCCTTCAGTGATGTTGATTCTCTCTCACAACCAACAACGAGGA